GGATCCCCCAAGCAGCGACAGGAGGGGTTGGGGGGGGCCCATGCCCTGCAGCTCAGCACACCTCGAGCATCACCTGCTCCTCCTCCCCTCATCCTATCACCTGGCTGTTGTGCCCGTCCCTGGGTCCCCTAAATATCCTGGGGTCCTCCCTAAGTCTCCATCCCTCTGCAGTGGTGGGAGGGGCCAGGGGGTGATGACCTCCCACCCAGCACACCCCCAGCATCACCTACTGCTGCTCCTCCCCTCATCCCATCACCTGGCTGTTGTGTCCTGGACACCTAAATTGTCCCCAGGTCCTCCTCTCGTCCCCATCCCTTGGCAGGGCAGGGCGTCGATCTGGTTGTGTGTGACACGCTTTGGTTTTAGTCTTTTCCCAGGATTTGCAGGCCCTGGAGGCCTTACCTGCCACTGCCCCATGTGCAAACAGGCAGGTAATGCCCATCGGCAGGTGTGTGAGCCCGGCAGCAGCTCCGGTCCCTGCCAGCTCTGCTCCTCCACAGCCCCAAGCTGCTTAAACCACCCCTGGATATGGATCCTGCTCTTAATTGGGGGCCCAATTTTCTGCAGGTGTCAGGCTCCAGGACATCAGGTTTAATGAAATTCATCCCACCCACCTCTGCGGCACCGGCGGAGGCGCCGGAGCTGCCAGGAAAGGGGGTCTGTGCCTGGCACACGGCAGGAGCCGGCGGAGCTGACACTGTCAGCAGCTCTCCGGGGACGAGCGTATTTTTGTCGATCATGTAGCATCAGGTTCTCGTGTCACTGCGTTACGGAGCTTGATGGCACTTAATACACCGTGACAAGGTGTAACATCAGAAATGGAACACAAAATGAGATCAAACGGCATCGTGGTCCCCAGAGGGCCCGATCAAATCCAATGGATGGAAATTTGAAGGGGGGAAAAAGATGCAAACTCTCCCCCCTATAGAAACCTTTGGAATCCCATTATCCTGGGCAGCCAAAGCTGGGCTGGGCTCCTTTGGGGAGGAGGATTTGGGACTTATGGGATGGACCTGTTCCTGCAAACCATGGGACCTGCAGACCCCCTGAGCACTGACCTCACACTGGGAAGCAGTTCCAGCTCCCTGCTGGAGTGGGGACACCCTCAGTCCTGTGTGAACAAGGATCCATCCTGGGGTTGGGTGTCAAATCACAGTTATGTCCCCTCTTGCAGGTGAGGAGGGTGACCCTGAGGAGAGGACCCCCAGGACAAGGTCCTGCCCCACTTTGCTGGGTGTCTGCAGGCAGTGGCTGATCCAATGGGCACTGTCCAGGGGAGATGTTTCTTGGGAGGGACAGAAATGGCAGGTTATTATCCCACAGGCAGCTTCCTCCAGGAAAGCGGGTCAAGGGCAGAACACCTCGGGGCAGATAAAAAAAAGGACAATTTTTCACATATCTCAGCAATTTTGAGAAGAGGAAAGAAGCCATTTTTCAGCAAAGAAGAGCTCTTTTCATTCGGAAAATGTTAACCAGATGTTCACAAGAGGTACGTCATGGAAAGAATGAATTAGGTCTCTGGTTGGGACTAACCCCCGGCCTCCTGGGAGCTGTGGGGCTGCGCCGTGGGGCTGCTGGGGCTGAAACAAAGGCAGATGTGCTTGGGAAGGCACCAACTCCCAATGCCCATGGCTGTGGGTTGGAGGGTGTGATTGCAAACACATACTGTCTGGCCTGAAGAAAGGGCTCCCTCATCCCTCCAGGGGATTGCAGCTCCTGTCAAGCAGCTCCCAGTGCCCCACTCTTATTGCCAGGTCACCACACTGGCTCACGAGCCTTGCAGTACCCTGGGATGCTCATGGAGATGTCAGAGCCAAGGAAAAAACAGCGGCAATTCAGAGTAAGAACCACTGAAGTTTGCAGAGTTTTAGGCAAAACAATGATGGTATTTGCAGACCAAAGCACGGTGTCACCTCTGTCCCCATGTGCTTACGTGCCACTGCCCTGCTGCTCTTGGTGCCCCTCTCACTGCTGCCATGGCCCCTGTTCCTGGTACAGGCACCAGCACTCGTCTCCTGCTTTACCTGCTGCCAGGTGAGAGACAGCACCTGCCCTGCACCCAGACAGGGACCAGAGTACTTGTGTCCCCAAAGCCCTGGGGCACAAAGTCCACAGGGTTAGTGCCCTGGCCACCTCCACCAGCTCATGGCCACATGCCTGGTGGCTGCTGCTGACATACATAATGGACATACTGAACCTGTTGCATTATTACCCCATTTTCCTGTCTCTGCAGCCAGAGAGAGCTGCTGGACCAGGGTCCCAAACTGGCAGCTCCACAGGGGTCTCCTCCCAGCTGAGGTTGCTGAAACTCCTACCAGACAGGAGCCCCCGGCTCCAGCTCGGGGCTGGGGTTAAACCCAGGGCTGGGGGGGGTCTCGCCTGAGATTAAGGGCAGGTGATGACTTTTTTCCCTACAAATGACCATTGTCACCACATCAGCAAACACCCTCAGAGGGGTGTGTGTGTCTTCATTTCCTGGGCCTGCAGAGCCAGTGGCACTTTGGGATCGAGGCAGCAGCACCAGAGCCTGTTCGTGCAAATCAGACAGCAAACACAGAGCAGCATGTACACTGATACTCTGTCCCTTGTATTTTTTTTTTTTAGTTGCAAAACCTAAATCAAATCAGGAGAAAAGGCCAAGGCAGCATCTAAACAAGGAGACTCATCACTACATGGAGTCCTGGAGTGAGGAAATGAGGAGTTTTCAGCCTCTGGCTGCACCCAGGGCCATGAGAATCAGCAAATCATTAATAGGGCTGAACCTCTGCAAGCAGCCAAAGGAAGAAACCTGCCAGAGGCTGCTGCTTTTCTGAGTCTGGCCCTGGTGGCGTCCCTGCTGGTGGCCACTGGGTCCCCTAACCCCTGCCCACCCCAAAGGGACAGTGGCACCGACTGTGTGGCTGCCAGTGTGGTTGTTGGAGCCACTGGTGTCCACAGTCCCTACTCCAGCCACTAGAGCCCCCTGCTCCCCTTTCCCCTTTTCCTGGATCACTCCTTGCCCCTGCACCTGCGGAGGCTGAAGGGACTCCACAGCTGAGCAGCCCAGCTGTCACCCCAAGGATGGACCTGAGCAGGAGTGTGGCATCGGGGACCAGCCAGCTCCTGGGACACTCTTCAACAGGAGTTAGTTGTCTTCAGGCAGGTGTCTTTTGGCTGCCAGGCTGAGGGGCATGGACACATCCTCAGGGAAGGTACAGATGCCCCTGTCCTCCAGCCACATCCTCCTGCTGCTGGGCAGGGTCTGCTCCCAAGAGCCCCCAGGCTCCACCAACACAGCCCTGGGATCGTGTCAGCAGTATTTCTAGAGCCTCTTTGCACAGGCTTTAGTAGCAGCAACATCCTGCTGTTCCAGGGCAGGGCAGAGGGCTGACCCGGGGACCCCTCAGCAGACAGTGTGACAGAGCTGCAACTCCTCCAGGTGAGGGGTAGGGATATGCTGCATGTGAGATGGATGGCTGCTGGGGTGGGCTCCCACAGTCGTGTGTCTTGATTTCATCACTAATACACACAATTAATAAACTTAATTACACGTAAAATTGCGGCAGCTGAAAAATGAGTGCAATTCCTTCTCCTCCATCTTTACACCGAGCCTTTGCTGAGGACAAGGGGTGCAAAGGTGTCACCACAGCCCCCTTTGTCCTTGGCAAACCTCTCCTGTGGGCCTGTGTCTGAGTCTCCAGTGCTGGTGGAACTGCCTGAAGTGGGATCCAGCCTCAGAAGGGACATTTCTTTGTGTCTGTGATGTGCTGCTTCTGCGCAAAGCAATCAGTGTGCTGTGTGCTGGAAGATTAAATGAGTCTGTGATGCAGAACATCACCCTGGGCAGATGGTGCTGATCCCTGACACCCTGCACTCATTCTGGTGGCTTAGAAGAGGACAGGGATGTCTGTTCTGGAGAGCAGTGGATGCACATGAGGACACTGGGGCTCTGCAGGGCGACCCCTTACTCCCTCTGGGTGGGCTGTAGTGGGAAGGCAAGAGAGACACACAGTTGTGTCACTCACACTTCACCCAGGTGTGAGAAGCTGATGCTGTGCAGGTGGGAGGGTCAGGATGTTGGGTCCAGAGATCTTCATGGATCAGCATCTCCAGTCACCTCATCCAGAGGAGAAGGGGTTAATGGCTCCCCTCTGCTGCAGCACTGAAGTTCATTACTTTTGCTAATTGCTTTGGAGTCAGTGATTCAGCAGCTCATGGAAAATGCATCTCTGGGTAATGGATTAATTGGCCACCACTGACCAGTTTGCATCAAGGTGCTGGGAAGGGGCTGCACCCCATGCCAAGCTGCCCACTCACCACCCAGCACCACCACCTGCCACAAAACGAGGTCTCACCGTGCCTGGCCAGTGTCACAGTGGGCTGGTCCCAGCTCACGAGGCTACAGGGACCTGCTGTGGATCTTCAGGCTGTGGTGTGACTAAAACCCCTGGGGTGCCACAGCGGGCAGCTGGGCTTATGAGGCAGCAACAAGGCCAGGTGCTGCACAGGTGGCAACTCAGGTAAAAGCTTTCACTCCTGCCTTGTGCCTCCTTTAATCTTCAAAGAATTAACATGGGTGTGTGTAGAATAATTTCAACACACTCCGTTAATGCCAGTGCTGGTGTCACCAGAGAAGCTTTACTTTCCCAGGTAATGAATGTGGCCATAAGTACTTTGCGACCGTATGGTGATTATGCTTAATAAAGGACATTTTCTGTAATTAAACAGTTTTATTAAGGCATTATTAGCCCTTTAAGTTGAAAAATAGCAGAATGGAGGTGTAATAGGGTGCTAGCATCTGTACTGGGTGAGCAGATGGAGGGGAAGCTCCACCCTTGTGGAGGGAACTCAGAGCCCAGCTCATGCCTTGCTGGGAGCATGTCCCCAGGCAGTGGCAGTGCCAGCAGTGCCAGCAGTGTGCCTGTACCCAGCCCTCACCCCACATGGCCACTGGGACACTCTTCAACAACAGGAGTTAGTTGTCTTCAGGCAGGTGTCTTTTGGCTGCCAGGCTGAGGGGCATGGACACGTCCTCAGGGCAGGTACAGACCCCTTCAGCCCATAACAGGGATGTCCCACTGGGCAATGCTGCAAGGCCAGGGATCCCCGGCACGCACACCCTTGGCAAGTACCACGGCAGAGCTGTGGTCTGGCAGTAAGGTCTCCCTCCAGCCTTTGTCCCCTCTCACTGGCACTCATCATCCTCTCAGCCAGAGACTCCCCTGGGAGCAGGACAAGGACAGGGATGAAGCCCAGCAAAGAGCTGCCCGTGCCAGGCTGTGCCCTCCCACTGGAGGAGGGATCGGTGAGGGGCTGAAGGGACCCCGCAGCACCAGCATCACACCTGGTGCAGTTCTGTGGTCGTAAGGATGTTTGTGTCAGACTCCCCAGCACTTGAGCCAGCACTGACCAGAGGGGAAGGAGCCGTGACATTGCTGGGAATGGTTTTTTCTCCATCTGAATTTGTGCGGCCTGTCCTCTAATCATTTGTACGTTATCCATCATCCCCTGCCTCCCCGTCCCTGCTGTCGCACAGCTCCAGGCAATCCATCTTACAGTTAAAAAATTGTCTCTCTTACACAGGGGCTTTCAAACAAGACAAATAGAAAGAATAAGATCTGGTATTGAGATGCTGTGTACAGGGTGAGATACATAAAGCGGCGGGTAAAAGATCCCATCTGATTGTCGGGAGCAGATCTACGGCGCTGTCAGTGCAGCACAGTCCCTTCCACAGGGGAATGGGAAGGATTCAGCCCCCACTGAGCAACAACATTTCCTCTGAGCCACAGCACTGGGGGTCCAAGCAGGATTCGGCCCCAGCTGAACAGCATCATCTTGTCTGTGCCACAGCTCTGTGGCTCTAAGCAGACCCACCAGCCCCAACACAGGCACCATGCAGCCACCCAGCCATCCTTAGTGGCTTTCCTGAAACCTGAGGGCTACGTCTGACATCTTGGCACAGAGCTTGCCACTGAGCCCTCCTAGTCTGCTGGGACTAACCACAATGCTACTGCTGCTTCTGCTGTTGTGATCCTGCCTGTAACAACATTCACGTCTCAGGGATTTGGAACTAATTTATAGTTGATCCAGGTTCTGTTGGGCAGGAGGGCAGACAGCACCCTGAGCTGAGCCCACCAGGAGTCAGATGGGAACCTGAGCACAGCGGACAGCATAGACCTGACCATTGGGGCAGAACCAACCTGTTCCTGGTACCTGTAAAGAAAGACGCATCTGCCCTGTGATAAACTGTTCCTGCAGTGGCTTAGGCTGCCTTGCAGGATTTCTCTCCATCAGAAAGTCAGTCTGATTACCCACCTCTTCCTCTTCCCTGGACAGAGCACTTTGGGTTGGCCGGTGCCATGGGTAGCAATGCCCTTGGCACATCAGCTGTGCCAGTGCTATGTGTCCAAGGCTGATGGGATCTGTGCCATGGCCTGGCTGTGACTCCATTAGTTATCATATTATTTAAATGCTGATGAGTCCATGATCACCCTAGGGAAGATAAGGGGGCAGGGGGCCAAGCACCCCACAGATCCAAAGGTTTCATGCTCAAACACACCTGCTTTAGGCAGGGTGGATAAATACCTGCTCAGAGGATCTCAGTGCCTGTGCACAATCAGGATGCTGAAGACTCGGGATGAAACACTCAGCTTTCTGCTTCCAGGGTGGTTCCTGGGGATGTGAGTGCCCAGGGAGCCGTGTCAGTGCCGGGCTGTGTGGTGCCAGGGGAGGGAGGATGCTGTGGCTCCGTGGTGATGCAGAACCGCACATCTTCCTTGCTCCCTAATGAGACAAAATAAATTTACGTGGTGCTGTATCCTCTCCCCCCCCCTTTCCTTCCCTTCTCTTGCTAAGGCAAAGGCATCTGATGGTAGTTTAGACAACCCCAGCTCTCGCCTGAGCCGCCACGCTCCAAGCTGCCTGCATTTTTATGAGCTGACTTGTTATATGGGGTGGAAGTATGCAAAATATGTCAAGCCCAAGCAGAGATTTGAATCGAAATGACTCTAATTACTTGTAATAATTTTTTGCATTTCAACATAAAACAATGTTAAAAAAAAAATCCATTACAATAGTTAAAAGACAAATCATTTAGCGAGTCCCTCACTTTATCGCTTTATTAGACAATTTCCTTTGCCACATTTGGAACATGCGGCTGGGTGATCGCCCAGGGCTATTCCAGTGCAAGCAGCACTGGCGGAGAGTTCATCCTGTCATTAGTCAAACATCATCACTGCAGGACCAATGGCCTTGTCAAATTAGACACCATCTCCAGGCGTCAGCCTGGTACCAAATTGGGAGAAAAATTAGATTTTTTTTCTCTCCTCTCCTTCCTTTCTTCATCTCTAAAATAAGCCAGGTTGATTCTTCCTTTGGGTGAGCCCCAGCATAGGATGTATGAGCAGGGATGGACCCAATTTATTGTCACTGGTGTGATCCCTGGGGATCCTTTGATTTGGGAGATGATGTGGGCGATAGGAAGAAATTCTTCACTATGAGAAAGAAATTCTTCACCTTCCACTAGACCTGATTACTCCAAGCCCTCTCCAACTCGGTCTCAAACACTCCCAGGAAGAGTCACAGCTTCTCTGGGCTATTTGTGCCAGGGCCTCACCACCCTCTGAATAAAGAACTTCTTACCAAAATCAAACCTAAATATCTCTCCTTTTAGTTTTAAACCACTCCCCCTTGTTCTATCTCTACTCATTCATGTAAAAAGCCCCTCTCCATCCTCTTTTTAAGCCTCTTTATGCACTGGAATGCCACAGTGCACGGAAAACTGCAGGCAGGTCTCTGTGCCTGCGGGGCAGGACCATCGTGCCCCGCACCCTGCCCGTTCCCACACCGTGTCCACACTTTCCCGGGGGCTGGCACCCACCCTGCCCCCCGGGAACGGGTCGGTGGATGTGACCCCAGTGCCCCGCTGGAAGGCGCTGGGCGGGACGCCCTGGCCCCGTGGGTTTGGCCCCATCCCGGTGGGGACGGGGACAGTGAGGAGGGAGCGTCAGCGCGTGTCAGCGCAGCCACCCCGGCCCTGCCTTTGGACAGATTAAGCAAGTTGCTCATTGCCTGTGACATAATTTAGATGAATGGGGTGGGTAATCCATCAGGCAGAGCCCTGCGCAGCCGGGGGGGATCCCATTACCTTACACGTGTTAACAGCCCAACTCCTTTGTACAAACAACAAAGTGGCGCTCCTGAAAAGCCCGATTTTCCCTCATTGTCTGCGAGAGGAGCGGCGGGTCGGCGGTGATGGATGGCGGCGCTGGCAGGGCGGGATGCGGCCGTGCCGCGGGTGAAGAGGGACACCGTGTGGGGACACACCGAGGCACCGCCGCATGCACAACACCTGTAGAAGCCCAGAAGATCAGCGGTGGTGTGAATGTCTCGAAAGCCGATAGCCAGAAGGCTGTGGAGACAGCCAGAAGTTGCTGGTAGTAACATACTGTGAGAAAGAGCAGGATGTGTCTGGAGAAGGGGCCACAAGGAGGGAGTGCAGCACTTTTTCGGGACAAATGTCTTTGTCCTGTCTCCTGAAGATAAGCAAATCACGGTATAGGAGCAGGAATGAGGTCGAGAAGCAGCATAAACTGTAGAGGGGAGACTCTCATTCTCTCCAACTCCCTGAAAGGAGGGTGGAGCAAGGTGGGGATCGGGCTCTGCTCCCGGGGAACAGGGGACAGGACAAGAGGAAACGGCTTCAAGCTGTGCCAGGATAGGTTTGGGCTGGGCATCAGAAAGAATTTCTTCATGGAATTGGAAGGGACTGCCAGGGAGGTGGTGGAGTCAGCATTCCTGGAGGTGCTCAGAAAAAGTGTTGATGTGGCACTTGAGGACATGGTTTAGTGCTAAACATGGGCATCTGAGGGCACCCTGTGCACCCCAGCTCACTGGCACCCCCAGACAGGCATCCCTGGGCACCCCTGCCCACGGGGGCCTCCCAGACTGACATCCCTGCTCAAACCACCCTTATCTCCAGGAGCTGAGGTCTCTTTGAGGTCTCGGGGTAATGTGATCACTGGCTGCTTCCCCATGCTGAGCCCTCATTCCATGGCACAGCCAGCAGCTGGGACACCGATGGTTGTCTCCATCAGGAGAGTCCTTAAAATCAGCCTCCAAAACCATTTCTCGTTCCTCAACTCTCCACCAGGAACATTATCCCTTAATTGCTGCATTTATCCAGACTTATTCTGTATATCCCCCAATAATGAGTATATTAGAGATGTAATTATTGCTGTCATAAACGTAATAGTGACAAAACAAGAATTGAAATAGTGTCTATGAGGATAATTCACCATTGCAATTAATACTGCCCTGCTTAGTTAATATGTCACTACTTCCAATAAATGCTGTCATTATCCCATTACTAATTCTGTGGTATAATAATTATTGAGGTCATAATTAAGTGTCTATAGTCATCATGGGGTTGGGATGGGTGGGAGGATGCACAGAGTTCACAGTATTTTCACTTTCCAGGGATGCCTAGAGGGCAGCTGGGCGGCCATTCGGGCATCCCAGGAAAGCATCAGCCATAGGATAGGATGGATAGAGATTGGGAAGAGCTGGGTGAATCTAGTTTAATTCTCGGTTTGGCTGGTTGCTCCCAGTGAATCTTTAAAGCACGTGAAGCTGCCAACATCATCAATTCCTCAATTTTTCACTTTTTCAGTGTTTCCACAATGTGGAAACATTGACGTGATCCCTGTTCCTGCTCCATTCCCTTTCCCACTCTTTTTGCCCATCCCTCAGCCAAGTGCATTTTCTACCCAACGCAGATACTTCACGTTAACTCAACTTTTACAGGAGTTCAACTCAATTTTCCTCAGATTAAATAAAATTTCCAAGTGTCACTCACTAGCAAATGATCAGTGGGAAGGGGGTGGATTTTTCTAACCCTATCTCTGGTCCAATTACAATTTTTAATCTATATGTAGATAATGGTGAAGAAAACCCCTGTAGAAATGTCAGGAGTGAGGAGGTTATTAGCTGAGTTTTAATTACTGTCTATCATTCGTAGAAAACTGCGGTGCC